GAGAAAAGAGAGAGGACCGCGGCCAATTTTAAAGGGGTCGTACCGGATTCGCGCTCGCATCGCGCCGCATTCGTTTCCTTCGACCGTTTCCTTCGTTCGTGTGTCCTTCGAGGTGCTATATATCGCGCACTCGGTGGACTAGATATTATTCGCCTCGTTCCCGCTGAGTATTTTGCATGGGATTAAAGTCGATGTAGCGCTTCGCGGCGTCGCCGGTCGCGGCGATATCGCGTCGCGATGTTAATCGACAAAAATGAGATGCAATTCGCGCGTGTCTTGATGGTGTCTTACGTCGTTGTACAATTGATCTCGTCATGTCATTCTTTAGAACATTTTCATATCAAATGTCCTCTTTCCACACACTTTGTCTTAGCCGCGCAAAAATCGTAGACTGATGACTTTATCGTCGTGATTCGTTGGCTAACGTTTTTATACGACAAAGAAACAACTTTTTTCAAAATATCTACTTTGCTCGTATTTCTCGGTTCCCTCACAATTTTACCGAATTTTCATCGAGAGATTTCTCAACCTCTAAACATATGAGAAGATATACATAAAAAATAGATGCCTTTTATTTTTAGTTACTACACAATTTATCCAAAATCCAAATGACTGTAAGGGATGCGTCTCTTCAACCGAACTGATCAATTTCACTCTTTGTATTTTTTTTAATTTTAATATCAGAATACGTGGTTAATATTTAATTCCTCGAAATTAAGAAATGTACAAGAAGTGTATTAATCAGCAATTAATCAGTTTGACTCATCAGAACTTAATATATCTTTCTCTTTTGCGAGAGGAACACAACGAACATGTATCTTTTTCTTTTGCAAGACGCGCATTTCCTCTCGACGCGTTTTCCATCTCTCCATCCTGTCGTGCGTTTGCAGATGCAAGACGGTCGGATACAGTTTTCTCGGGGGCGCGCGCACCAGCATGCATTTCCGAGTTTAGCGCAACGCCGCTGGAAACCATTATTCGAAATCGGCCGTTGCGATTGGCCGGCACGAAGGCACGGAGAGCGGTTCGCATGATTAAGATCATCCAATGATTCCTTCTCTATAATGATAGGCTCTGGCACGCTCGCTCCCGCTTCCCGGCTGGTGGGGAGGGCGTCGGAGAGAGGAGAGGCATTATGCGAGATTACTAAAAAGAATCTTATGCTAATGAAAATGCCCGCCCTCCTTCTCGTTCCTTCTCTCTTTCTCCCTGACTCTCAAACTGGGTGCTCTGCGGCCGGCTGCAAACGTCAGGCCGACGACGTCGGCGATTCGATTTTTCTTTCTCTTTTTCGTCTCTCTCGTGTCTTCTTTTCTTTTGCGTCGTCGCCGTCGATCATTACTGGAAACGACACGCTTCGGGCCCGCAACCGTGAGCGTGTGCACGGCACGTAAAACCGAGCGTATCGTAACGCACCGCGGAGGCAAGATGCGAGGACGGCGTATCGTAAAATTGAATCACGTTGCGTACTGCCCTCATACGCAAAAACTTGAAACACCATCGGCGTCGTGAAAACGTCGTGAAATCGTTCGCGATGCCTTTCACGCGGCGCAAATGTGGAAATTGTATCGCACGAGCAAACACGCGTCCCTCCGTATTCAAGAAGCAGACAAAAAGATGTGAGAATTTCTATAAAATTCTCGCGAAAGAATTTCTCCGCCCCGGTCATGGACCGGTAAAAAATACTCGCCTGCCCTTAAATTGGATTAAAAACTTGAATTAGAATTTCTTCCGCTCACAGCAGGATACATGCATTTCGCGTTACGCGTCTCAAAAATAGAAAGTTATTAAGCGTACGGAATTCATAAGTGGCGAAAGAAACACGACGGCGGCGTGAGGCGGTGGTAATTGAAAGTAGCGAGACACGCGCACACCCGGCGAGTGTGTATCCCGCTCGCGAGAAAATGCCAAGTTATTAATATTATCAGCGTTATAGTAAGTTATTGCTGTAAGGACGATCGGCGCGTCTAATGAACGTATTTCCATCAGGGACCGGGACAAGTCGTTCATCAGGGACGGGAACACGATATTCCCATTCAATGTATGTATAAAGTAATAAGGGAAGACGACGACTGGCCACAGATAGGTGGCAGGGGGAAGGGCGGGGGAGGGAGGGAGCGAGCGAGCGAGAGAGAGACGAGAAGCGGATCCGACGAGGAACGCGAGAAGGAAAGGAAGAAACGGCAAACTACACGGACTCGGATAAATGGCCTTTCTTATTATTTTCATTACGGTTATAATGAAGTATTAATGGCGAGGCGGTCGGACGAGTCGGAGGACTATACGGGAAGAACGAGGGGTGTGGGCGGGTAGGAGGCAGGGAGGAAAGGTGGAAGGACGAACGGCGAGACGAACGAACGAACGAAGACCGACCGACCGACGAAGGCGGACGGACGGACGGATTGAAAAAAACCATTTAGCAACTGGCCATTATAATAATACGTGATTCGTTTATCTCGGTACAGTCGCGGCCGTACTGATTACCATTCTTCCCTATCTCCCCTTCTCGCCCCCTCTGCTTCCTTCCCGGACCTCCGTGAGAGATCCCACGAGAAGAGAGACGATCGAGAACCGCCGCCGCCGCGCGCTGGCCACGATCCACCGCTCGTCATTTCCGGTTTTCTAATCGTCGTCCGTATCCGCTGTGCACACAACACCAACGAACGCGCTTTCGCGTTCTCTCTTGCACGATGCTCCGTCGGCCTCATGCACCGGTACTCGATATCTCGGCACGTACGGACGATTTTGCATTTCCCGACGACGTCATGCGCGCTCGCTCGCCCGCGACCACCCATCTGGCGAACGGGTTACGGTTTAATATTTCGAGTACCCCGGAGGAATTCCCTTTGCTTCCTTCTCTTTCTCTCTCTCTCTTTCTCTCTCACACACTCTTCTCTTGCCCGAGGGGGGTCTCTTCGGGAGGGCGCTGTCTTGTTCTCTTTCTTTGCCCCTTCGTCTCTCGCGTTCCGCGTTCCCTCGCGAGTGCGCAGAGCTTGCAGCTGCCGCGATCGGCGGACGATCAAGATATTTATATTCGGTTGTATCGCGAGGGGACAGAGAGGAGGGTACACACGCATGTCATGACCGCATATGTACGTAGCGGTCGTTTCGTGTCAGAGGGCACGCTCGCGGAAGCGCAGCGCGCGGTTGCTGTCGCGGACTGTACGATAATGCAACGGGATGGATACCTCCGCATTACAATATGAACTCGAGCCGCCTCGGTTACGTTCGCTTGACGATCGTGTGTGTGTATGTGTGTGTGTGTGCGTGTGTGGGCGCGTGTGGACGCGTGCATGTGGTCCACCTCTGGTCCCATCCCGTCCGCCATGGCTCTCCTCTTTCTACTATTTTCCCGCTGTCTCTGTCGAACGTTCGCTTCCTCCTCTTCTCATTCTTCCGCTTGGTTTCGCCACGTCGCGAAACGACGGAAACTCATTATCATCCATTGCGAGCAGCCGACGAAACCGCGGCCGGGCCTCCGGAGTCGCAGTCGAAGAGACGCGGGGAGGTCGTCGCTCGTTCGGAACACGGGGAACAGCCCCCTGTTGTCCACAACGAGATGTCGTGGAAGTTGGTTGCGCTACGTCGGACTTGTAACAGCCGTACGCGCTCAGCTGCTATATTAAAATTTCGTTAAACACAGCGGTGATTTAACTGCAAAGAGTGGCCAATGTCACGACCCAACCGTTCGGAGAATCACACGGACTCCACTTTTCCCCATCGGTATGAGTCCAGTAAGAAATAACCACGCGTGAAATTATGAAGATGTTAGAAGAACGATCGTCCGGCAGCGGAACGTCCAGTTATCAGCGGCAAAAGCAAGGAAGAAGAAAAGAACGAGAGAGAGAGAGAGAGAGAGAGAGAGAGAGAGAGAGAGAGAGAGAGAGAGAGAGAGAG